ATCACTCTTGTTATGCACCATTTACAATCGATGATATACCATCAATGAAAATTAGTAAATAACACAATAATTTTGTACGGGGGTTGGCATGTACAAATACAAATGTTTTTTTTAAATAGCAACTGTAATTGTCCTAATAGCACAGACCTTCCCAATCACAGCCTATTGACATCCTAAATACTACCATGCAGTATTTAGGATGTCAATAGCCTGTGAATGGGCAGGTCTGTGCTGTTATGTTACTTACAAATATTAATACATACTTACAATATGAACACTATGCATCTCTTTAACACACTCCCCTTGCACAATATACTATATCAGTGTATTTTTATATAACCCCACCACTAAAAGGACTCCATTGCATTGTATCAATGGGCCCCATTTTGTTTAACCCCCTTCACGAGGGGTGTGGCTTATCAACCTATCACAACTCTCCATTTAACCCCAAGTATAGGTGTCATACACCAATGAAAGGTCAACATTTTGTTTTTTTAACATCCCTCGCAGAGGGTGTGGCTTATCAACCAATCACAGATCTACATTTCACCCCCAAGTATAGGAGACAATGAAAGGTCACCATTTTGTTTTAACAACCCCCATCGTGGGTGTGGCTTATCACAACTCATCAATTGTTATACCCTGGGTAGACCACGCCCCCAACCACCCCATGGGTTAATAGGGGTGTCCCAGAAGGTCCCTTTACATGCTACTTTTGTTTCATTGTCTGTGACAATATTTTTGTATAATAAGGGTCAACCCCGTTAAATAAATAAATAAAATAAATGTGTTATGCAAAATTAGTAGAAAAAAAAATTTTTGTCTTTGATAGTATTTATGAAAATGGCTCACAATAACTTTTGTTTAATGATTTATTTAATAATAGTTACATTTAAATCATCTTTATTATTTTCATACAAAACTTAATAAGTTCAATTTAGGTAGTCAAATACCGAATCGAACCTGTTCCAAAATGCATTTTTGCAAAACTAAAATCTGTTACTACATTGGGAAATATAGGCCATGCTAAATCACCCTTTATCACAAAACTCTTAAAAACTATAAGCCATGGTGTTATGGCGTTTATTATGTGCTGAGATAAGCATTTCTAATACAGGACAAGTAGGCTTTATTTTAAAGGTAGTTGAACTCGAATAACCACAACTTAGTATAAAGGTCTTTGTTAGCTTGATCTAATTACTAAATTCGTTTCATCCATTAGGCGGTAAGCATGTACAAAGGGTCAGTTTTTCTAATTTTTTTAATTTGTAGTTGCTCGTTGCTGTAATCTACGATTTACCGGTATACGATTTTAAGTAGGCTTTATTATTATAATCCTTATACTTACATTAGTGATGGTAAACTGCTATTTTTTTTTAACATCTGCTAATGCTATTGCTATTTTAAAATAGCAGCTATTGCTATTTTGTAAAAACAGCTGATAGCATAATGCTTATCATTAATTTTTAGCTATTAGCAGCTAATGTTTATAGCAAAAAGCAATAACACTGTAGAAATCATTATTTTCGTTAGGGCCAGGGCTCAAGGCATTGATGGCGGGCATTATAATGTATAATTTATTCAACTGGCGTATGATACTATGATATGCAACGGTTCTAATTATTATATTAATATATATATATATATATATAATGTTCAAGCCATGTTAGTGTGAACTGTGAAGGTGAACCATTTGACATAAATATATTAATAATTGTAGACTGAAAAATAATGTGAACTTTAATTAACAATCATATTTATGGGCTTTATTTCAAAAATATTTTTTCTAAACGATTAAAACAGACATTAGGATTTGTACTATTCAACAAGAGTATAATAAATATTAGATTTAAAGAATTATCAAATCTAAATTCAAGCAAAATGTTTTTGGACTTAATTTTTTAGGAAATTTTATTTTAGTTCCTTATATTACAATATTTAATATAAAACAATTAATTAAAAATGCTCATTGGGAGGTATATTTTTTTATTTTATTTTCTATATAATTTAAAATGTTATATATTGTTTTTCATAAATAAATTAATATGATTATCATACTTGAAAAAAACTGTCGTTAGTGTTTCAAGTACTTTATTAGTAAAAAAAATGTATCTTAGTTCAGTACCAAGTATTTTATGTTGAACTGAAAATGTATTTTGGATGAGTGGTGTATAGATTAATATATAGTAAATAAAACATTACTAAATAGACCAAAACATTTTTATTTTTAAACTATAAATTATTATTATACATTATTACATTGCATATTGTTTAATCTTTTATGACATTATGGAGAGATGACACCTTTCCTTTTTCCAACTATGCCTATTTCTCTGAATGTGCATATTCAGACAAGACTAATAAAAGCTATGTTTAGTATGTTTCATAATTAAATGTATGAATGAAAAATATAGAAATAAACAATAAAATTCCATTTCTAGACTGGCATTAACATGTTGAAATATTATACCAATTCATATGTCTATAAGATAATACATATATTAAAATGAAGCACATTCTTCTTCTACATATCATAGGGTATAGTTGATATATTTGATTGTTTGTTTTTGATAGTTTTATTTTATTTATTTAACAATGAATCGTAAAACAAGTGATATTTGGTCTCATTTTACAATAATTGACAATACTACATTTGCAAAATGTAATATTTGTAAAAAAAAGTATTCATTTAAAACAAGTGTCACAAATTTAAAAACTCATTATTCGACTACTCATTGGATACAAATAAATACATCAAAACAGGTGTGTGTATATTGAAATTTTAAATTGAATAAATTAGGTATACTTGATAAATAGATCATAAAAAAATAATATTTTTCTGTAGACTAATAATGTTGAAGAGGACATAATAGATGATCCTGTTTCTGATCATATGACTATTCATCAATTACTCTCAACTTCAACCGATCAATATCTTTCACCGACAACACATATTCAAAATCCAATAATTAAGACTCCTAAAAAAAAACAAACCAACATTTTAGAATATACTCCAAAAAAATGACCATTAATAAAAAAAATAAAATTGACCAAGCTCTTTTAAAAATGATAGTAAAAGATTTTCAACCTTATAAAATAGTTGAAGACGAAGGCTTCAAAAGTTTTATTCAAGAATTAAATCCTTCATACCAAATTCCAAACCGCGCCATACATTATCTAAAGTGCATATACCAGCTTTATATCAAAAATTGTTAAATGAAACTAAGGATTTAGTTAGATCTGAAGCTGTCAGTGGATGTATTACTACGGATTGTTGGACATCCAGGAATAATATGAGTTATATTGCAATTACGTTTCATTTCATTAACAATCATTTTACTTTGAAATCTGTTTTATTGGGCTGCCGTGAATTCTCTGAAAACCATACAAGTGTAAATTTAAGTAACAAATTAATTTGACATTAAAAGAATGGCATTTAGAAAATAAAATTATTTTAACAGTGTCAGACAATGCGAATAATATAAAAAGAGCTCTATCCATACTTAAGTTAAAACATTTTGGATGCTTTGCACACACTTTGAATCTGGTAGTTCAAGGTGCTTTAATATTAGAATCTGGTCTTCTAGAAAAAATTAAAACAATTGTGTCATTTTTCCATAGAAGTACATCAGCAAATAATAAATTAAATACTTACCAAATAAATAATGGAGCAAAAGAACCAAAGAAACTATTTCAGGATGTCAGTACTCGGTGGAACTCAACATTATATATGATTGAACGTTTTATTGAACTTTAAAATTCTATTCGTGGCACTCTTGGGCTTATAGATAATTCTCCTAAAGGACTAACAGTAGATGAATGGAAAATTACAAAAGAGCTTTGCCTAGTGTTACGTCCTTTCGAAGAAGCAACCAGAGCTGTTAGTGGGGATAAATATATGACTGCATCTATTGTTATAGTACTATCACAAGGACTTAAAAATGTATGTGATGAACTACTTAACCAAAACTATGATCCTAGAGTAAACAATGTTCTAAAAAAATTACTGTCTGGTATGCAAGATAAAGATCGCTGGGGTAACATTGAAAACAGTAAAACTCTGGTTTGCTGTACATTTCTTGACCCACAATTCAAAAATGTCCCATTTACAGAGAGTCATCAACAACAAACAAAAAGCGATATTATAGAACTGATTACATCTATAATATCTAATACATCAGATAACGAGGAGCAACCAATAAGGATATCTACATTACCAAATGATAGTAATACATTTTCTATATGGAGTTCAATTAATTCAAAAGTTGCCCAAGTTCAACCTGTAGGGACTAACACATCAAAGGCTATCATTGAAGTCCAAAGATATTTAGAAGATGGACTACAGCCTCGAAATACTGATGCATTAAAATGGTGGAAGGATAATAAATATAACTATCCATTTATGAGTCAGCTTGCCAAGAAAAAACTTTGCTGTCTTGGAACATCAGTGCCCTGTGAACGCGTTTTCTCAAAGGCGGGATATTGATCAGTGATCGTCGTTGTAGACTCAACAGCAAAAATGTAGAAATGCTTCTTTGTCTGAACCAAAACATGAAAAAAAAAATTGGAAAGATTATATATATATGTATATTAGGGTGGTCCTAATTTTTCAACATTCAAAATACATATATCTCACCCCCCCATATTGTTCAATATGATGAGAAAGTAATTTGGGTAAAATTTTATCATGATAAACCACCCCCTTCACGTGCCTGTAAAGGGTTACAAATTGACAAAAAGGGTAGTTTTTTAGTTTTTTTTAATTAACTTCAAACCTGATGACTGTAGCGTAAAAACGTATACCAACTTAATTATTGTTCATTAAATTTTGCATAAAAAATATAATAATCAAATTTTCCGTAAGTTCATTATTTCCCGAAAAAAATTAATAAAACTGTAAAAAAAAATTTTTCTCCCAAAATAAATTTTTTTATGGTTATTTAATTATTTAGAACAAATTATTAGAGATACGATAAAATGTTTCATATGAAAGTTGTACAAAATTTAACTTCCTAAAGAAAAATTATATTAATTATTCTTACAATTTATTATTTACTATTTTATTATACAAAATTAGCAAAATTTTAGCAAGAATTTCTTAGAATAAAAATGGAATTATTTTTCAGTATAAAGTTTTCTGATTTCTTTTTCAAATATTTAATTAATAATTTAAAATCACATTGATTATTTAAATACTAATGCATGTTACTATATTATATTACCATAATCTGAGACATCGATTACATTAGGGATGATTTGTTACAATCTGGATATTGAGACCTATAATTTTTAACAATTTGTAAAAGATATTGAGTTTGATTTTCATCTTTTGTAATTATTTTATTATATTCCTCTATAAGTTTGACACCTCTCTCTGCTGTATCATTTACAACTCTAATATTTTTAACTATTTCTAAGCCCTTATTGTAAGAATCATAAGTTGACCATGTTTCTGGACTGTATGTCAAGAGCTGTTTATCAATATTAAATCGTTCAAAAAACTTGTTAGTGTTAGTCGATACTAAAACATTTAAATCTTTTGAAATTAAATTTTTTATATCTTCTGGTTTAAGTGGTAATTGTTTTATTTTCACATTACTATTTTTTTTTGCTGTTAGAGATGTTGACATTTTTTTTTTCAAATCATTCGGCACTTCATTGTCAAAAAATGCCATTGCTAGAGTTTCTTCGTTTAAGTACCACAGATAACCACATATTTTTTTTAATGCAGTTTGGACCACTTCATTATCACAATATGATGACAGATTTTTCAAAAAATTAAAATCTTGGTAGGGCGCTTTTATTGCTAAAGGTGCTATAAACCAAGCTTTAATGTGTAAGCGAATAAGAAATATACATATATCTCGTAATCCTTTTTCTTCATTTTTTGTTAATTTAAATTGTTTGCGAAATAAATAAATTTTGAAGGAGTATAAGGCCTTTGCCAACCACCTTGCATGATGTATAGCACCAGGAGTTTTGAATTTTATTTTCCTATGCTCGTCTCCTCCAAGAAAAATTAATGCAAGCTCTAAAAATCCCTTGTAGTCATCTCTACTATAATTCTGTTCTAATTCATGAGAGCAAAACGTTTTTATATTGCTAATTACTGATGCGGTTTTTTTATCCTGCCGCACTCGTGGGGTGTTGTAATATTAGGAAAATAACAAAAAGACACAACACGTTATTTTTGGTTCAGAATAATCTAATGTTTTATTTGTCGCTGAACAGAACTTTATATCGAAAATAAAAAGTGAAACAAATAAACACAGTAAGCAAGTAGACGGTTGACGTACTTAAGTAGGTATCCAAAAAAAAAACAATATATATCGTATCGGTGTGTCCGGTGCTGTGTTGTCGGCGATGCGGTCAAAGCGGTGTCACGGAGATGACTTTTCGTGTATTTGCGGCGGGTCGTAGATGGACGTGCGGCACTTGCTGGACTTTGTACCGTGGCGTATCGCACGCGGTGTTAGTCAGTCAAACTACCATATGCACGTAGAAGGTCGGCGGCTGATACAGGTGTCACGGGTCGCGGGGCTCTGTGTATAGAGAACAACGCGGTCCGTGTCATTACATCATTTAATATAATTTTTACCTCGTCGTCTTCAACTCCACAAGAAAAGTTGGTTAAATCCATTTTATTCCACTCAATTTGAAATCGTTTGAATAATTGTATTTCGGGCCCCGATGAATGATGTTTCATTTTTAATTCAAATATTAAATCCCATATTTGATGCGGTGGTATCACAACAAAGAGCATTCACTTTTNAATATTGAATCCCATATTTGATGCGGTGGTATCACAACAAAGAGCATTCACTTTTTCAGTAAGGTTCCACTCGAGAAGTAGTTGATAGACAGATGCTGCAATTTGTTCACCAGTTCCAGAATTTAGTTTTGGAACTCCAAGAAGCTGTTCAGTTCTATCAAAAGTCACAACAACTGGAAGTCTCTCTTGACGCATTAAATTGCTCGAGGGTAATAACTTACCATCCCAATGAATAATGACTGTATTTGATTCAGTATTAAAATTTTTTTTTATATGTTCAGCTACGTTCTGTCGTATATTTTGACGACGATTCTTAATTGAGGTACGATTAATTATAAGATTATGCACATCATGACCTAATGCTTCTGCGACAGCTATTAAAAGATGAACAGCATCTCTGTCGCTAATCTTGCAATGATCAAGAACCGCAATAAGTCGGTCTGTTATAAAATCAATTTTCCCTCGACCACTTATAACAATAGCCGAACTTGTTGATGGACCACAAAGTTTTTCGTCAAGCTCTATATCAGATTCATTTTCATTTGATGAAGATTGACACGGACATTTAGAATGNACAAAGTTTTTCGTCAAGCTCTATATCAGATTCATTTTCATTTGATGAAGATGTAGAAATGAACTCAATTTTGTTATCTAAAAATATTATAAATTAATACAAATTTCATAGTTTTCAATAAAATATTATTGTTTCTTTTATAGCCAAATGTGCACTTTGACGCATATTTAATTTCATAACACGTAAATTATAAAAGAAAACTAAAAATACTTGTCTATTAGATGGCAATTTACCACCAGTTATTTGATTTGATTCATTCCCCACTAAATAAATATTTATTCTAAGTTTTGTAGTCATTATTAAGAATGGAAGAAATTAATTAAGCATACATAAATACAAGTATAAAATTTAAAAAATAGTGTATATAATTGAAATGTAACTGACAACTGTGATGTAATCAATAGCATAAGCCATAAAAGTAATTTCCTACTTCACATCTATCATATTGGTATAAATAGATTTCGATAACAAGGTATCGTCCTATTTTATTTGGAGATTTTTGACAACTTGTTTTATCATAATGGCCAATACACTTAAATTAAAATTATTTTTTTAAGGAAATTAAATTTCGTACAACTTTCATATGAAACATTTTATCGTATCTCTAATAATTTGTTCTAAATAATTAAATAACCATAAAAAAATTTATTTTGGGAGAAAAATTTTTTTTTACAGTTTTATTAATTTTTTTCGGGAAATAATGAACTTACGGAAAATTTGATTATTATATTTTTTATGCAAAATTTAATGAACAATAATTAAGTTGGTATACGTTTTTACGCTACAGTCATCAGGTTTGAAGTTAATTAAAAAAAACTAAAAAACTACCCTTTTTGTCAATTTGTAACCCTTTACAGGCACGTGAAGGGGGTGGTTTAACATGATAAAATTTTACCCAAATTACTTTCTTATCATGTTGAACAATATGGGAGGCTGAGACATTGAAAATAATTTAACTTTTTTTTTGTCTAGTATAACTAAAGACCACCCTAATGTATATACATTTAAATATGTATACATATTTTATCCTTAAATGTTCAATTTTTAAATTTAAATATTAATTATAATTACATTTTAGCTTTTATAAATATTAAACAATTTTTTGTAGTTACTTATATAATAATATTCATATGAATGTGTATAGATTTGATGTGACACTTGTATAATAAGTATGTATATTTTAAAATTATTAATTATAATATTTGGTGTACTCACATTTTGAACATAGTAGTTTCATTTTTTATATCTTTTTGCTTCATGTATGGGGCTATTATATTACATTCTTAAAATATTCATAATATTCTTATTACGTATAGGCTAATATTACTGTAGAGTGTATGAATCCATTATTCTATTTCTCATCCACATTACATTACACTATTGCTATTCACTTCACAGTTCACACTCATTATTTTATTATAAACACGTTATTATTGACATTGTGGTTTTTGTTTTTCACTAATAATACTGTATTTGTCGTATTAGATATTATAGATATNTTATTTTATTATAAACACGTTATTATTGACATTGTGGTTTTTGTTTTTCACTAATAATACTGTATTTGTCGTATTAGATATTAATATCTAATAACTGGATAAGCGTTGATAACAGAAACATTTTGGATGCTTAACAGCTAATGCCNAATAATACTGTATTTGTCGTATTAGATATTATAGATATGAATGCGTATTATCAATTATCATACATAACACCAAGCCTGCCGCCAGGATGCCGCTCTATAGCTACTGCTATTTTCCATTATATTATGTGCTATAGTAGCAGTGTAGCAGTTATAATACAGTGTAGACTGTTAAAAACATAAATTACGAAATTTAGCAATCACTGCTATTATTTACATTGAATAGCAGTCTGCGACTGCTATTGTAAAATAGCAGTGCTATTATAGCTGCTATTGCTATTTTTTATCATCACTAACCTACATATTAAATCATCTAAATCATTGTTTGATAGTCTTCGGCACACAAAGCTTTTCAGACCTTATTTTTCGTATTATATCATTGGATTTTATTTTTGTAGGTTACGACAAACAATCTTGGAGGGCGATGATTAGTCAATAGTGTAAATATTTAAAACTATTACTAATAGTTTTTTCATCTCGTTTTTTTAATCGCGTTCATCTTCTTTAATGTAACTTGTTTTGCCCTCATTTTCGGGATCATGGCAATAATTTCTACTAGAACTGAATACTTTGGGTTATGTACCTTTAAAATTGGGACAAATTTTTACAGCTTTTATGACTAAAGTACATGTACGCTCTAATTTTACCAGTGTTTGGATAATGTGAACTATGCATGTTTATAACGCAAGTGTTATTAATCGTTTTTACACGTTTACGAAACATTAAACTATAGGTCTCCCTTCTCAATTCTATATTACTATAATGACAAATTTATAGTATATGCACTATAGTACTATCACGTAAAACTGCGCATAGTTACACGTCTGCAACCAACATTATAATTTGTTTTTTAACAATTATAAATGCATAAAGATTCTTCTTTTCAAGTATTTTATACATTTAATAAAGAAAAATGTTTTTGATAGAAAAAAAATTATGCAAATAAGGATTAATAAATGTGTCAAGTTTTCAATTTTGTTAAAAAAATCAAAATATATATATTTTTTATTTTCATTACTGTCTCAAATAAAACCAATAGCTTCTCAGCTTTTCATCGAATTTGAAAATATTTAATTATTATACATAACATGTAATTAATTTGTGTAATTTTAAAATATTTTATGTTTACATTTTAGAGGCATCTGATACAATTTTATTAGCCATCCCTTGAAGAAAATTAGTTGCTGCTGCACAAGCATTAAAATTAGGGTCACAAAATTCGGCATCCAGAGAAGAATTAATGGTTGGTAAAATCACATTGAATTCATTTTGGAAAAATTCTATTGACTCTTTTAAGTCGAATTCTTTCAGTAATCTTTTAGAACAATCAAGTTTTAACATAGAAGACAAGGTAACTGAAACATCCTGATCCCTAGTCTCCATATGTTTCCTCCGTAGATTTACACATTCACGCAACCCCTCAAAATAATTGTTCTGTTCGAATGACAATGTATCAGTCATAGATTCAGTAACTTTAAGTAATAACTCATCAGGTTCATCTTTGTTGGATGCATTATAATCAGTACAACTTTTGCTCCACATCTTATTAGATTTTTGATTATCTGATCTAAAATTGACTAAATGTTATTTCTAATTTACTTAAAATTATTCAGTTCTTTCAAATATGCTTAGAAAAACTATCAGCTTGCGGCTATGTATTGTATTGTTAAATAAAACAAAATAATCTTAATTCATTAACAACTATGCGACGACTTAGATTTAAAAATCATAACTTACAATATTATCTTAGTAATTACACTTTGTAAACTCGTAGAAGAATTAATAACTTCTGGAAAAAAAAAATCACATTCAATATCACTGCTTAAAACCGAATTCATATCAATAAAATCATTTATATTAAATAAATTTTCATCATCATTTCCTTCCATTATTAAAACACAAATGTCATATAAGTAATAAACACTGGATATAATTTATAATTAATACACCTTATAAACAATATGTTACTTCAGTTACAGTTACTTGAATTATAATTTAAATAAAAAAATGAGAAATCTCAGATAAATAATAACATGCATACTTTAAATTAATCATAATTTATCTTTACTTATAAGTTGAGGGTATATTGAGTAGTTTGAATAAATATGTTCATGATTTACGGATGATTAAAAAAAGGCGGTGGTGATCGAGCCACTCAGGGAAGGTCAACGGTACTTCGCGGTCATAAAGACCGCGATGGCTGCCGTTGAACTCAAAGCTCTGGGTGTCCAGTTGGCTGGGACCAGGAGGAGCCGAACGGGAGCCGTCCTTTTGGAGGTCCGGGGATCGGGCGCCCAGGCTGACAGCCTGGGCGAACTGCGCGCTCAGCGCAGTTACCGCCTGTATCCAGTAGGAGGGGAGTAGACNCCGCCTGGATCCAGCAGGAGGGGAGTGGACTTAGCCTCGCCCTGGACAAGACCGAAGCGGTCTTGTTCACGGGCAGGTACAAGTTCACTCCTCCACGGCTCGCCGTGCTGGGGGTGGAGATCCCGCTTAAGGACTCCATGACTTATCTGGGCCTTGTCATAGACAAACGTCTAAAGTTCGGGCCGCACATTACTCGTGCGGCCCAGCGGGCCCAGAAAGTTATGAATTGCTTGGCGGGACTCATGCCCAATCTGGGAGGGCCGAGAGAGATGCGGCGTAGACTTTTAGTCAGCGTCGTACACTCGGTTCTCCTGTACGGGTCCCCGGTTTGGGCGGATACTCGTCCAAAAACCGTGAGGCCCTGCTCAGGGTGCAAAGGCGGGCGGCGATCCGGACAGTTACGGTGTCCGGAGTGGCGGCGGGTATCCTGTCGTCACTNACGGTGTCCGGAGTGGCGGCGGGGATCCTGTCGTCACTGCCGCCCGCCGATCTGCTCGCCGAGGAACGCGCCGCCGGGCATGAGCTCCGCCGAGAGCGCAACCGGTCCCTCGAACCCGAGGACCGGCTAGCGCTCAGGCGGATGTCCGTGCTCCGGTGGCGGACTCGCCTCTCGGAGTGGACCCTCATAGGACCCGATCGGCTGGACAGGTGGGTGGACCGGACTCACGGTGAGATGACTTATCGTCTCACCCAAGTGATGTCCGGCCACGGCTGCTTTAACGAGTACTTACACCGTATTCGTAAAGCAGCCGCGCCGACGTGCGACCACTGTTCGGATCGTCCGGGAGAGGCTGATAGCGCTTTGCACACCCTCTTCCGGTGCGAGGCGTGGGCCAGGAACAGGACTCTTTGGAGTCTGGACTAAGGTCCACGTTCCGAGTCGGGTCCATGGTGGACCTGATGTTGAGGGAGGCCGAATCCGTCTTATTAAAGAAGGAGGAAGCGGAACGCCTGAGAGAGAGGCAACCACGCCGCCCGGCACAGGAGGACCTGAGGCGCTAGTTTAGGCCAGTGCCTTAGGTATTCGTGTTTATATGTTTCTTTTATGTTTGTGAGTTATTTTGCCCCCTTCGCAAAGTCCTGCCTCCACCTCCACACGGTGCAACCCGGGCAACGGATCACACTTTCGGGATCCGGCTAACGGGGAAGGCCACACCACGTTGTGAATCATCTCTTGATTAATTTCGGGCTGATTCACAACGTGGTGTTGTGAGTTTTAAGGACGGCGTGAGCCGGCCTGAAGTAATACTTATTGGTAGTTCCAAGGCGGTTCACAACTAAGCCAATCGGAGCAATAAATTTAAAAAAAAAAAAAAAGGTTGGGCCAGTGACAATGGAACGGAAAGGTTACTGCATTAGGGAAATCGGATGCCCCAGTGCCAGCGTTTGGTGTGGGGCGTAGGTGTCGACGTCAATCGAATATGCGCTAATGCAGGAGTGTTGAGGCAGGCTCCTGCAGCCAACCACGGGGTTGGTACTGTGACTGCAGGGAGTGGTGATGACTAAGCCACTCCCACCGGTGAAATAGTCTGTAGGGCATTGGTAACGGATTGCTTGGACAATGAAACGGACATGACGACGACCATCCCCACAGATGCATCAGCGATACACGTCCCGTTTTCTGTTCTTCGACACCTTTACCCGAAATAGATAAATAACTTTTCGAGAAACATTTGGATTTAACGATATTAAACATCATACTTAAATATATTCTTCACACACTAAACTAATATATACCTAACCCTCTAAATCGTGTCTAGCCGAAGACATAACCCTCAAAAATTGAAAAAAATTCCTTTTATCAAATAAAAACTTGCTTAACCAGGTTTCTTCATTTAGACAATTAAAATAATTAATTTTATTTTAGTTGTTGAGTCAGTAAAATAAAATGTCCACAGAGTGAAATGAATATTTTAAACTTTATTACAATAGGATAATTAGAAATAATTATTTTGATGTAGTCGGGCACACTACTTTTATCAGAAATATCTCGACGACTGAGATTACAGTATATCACTGTTGTTGTGACCGGGTTGGTACGGTAGACAAAATGAAAAGATAATGCGTTTGATAATTAGTTTATTATATTTAAAAATATATTTACACTTATAATTAACTTCTCGATTTTAATTAGTTGATAATTAATATAAAAGATTCAGTGAACAAGTTAACATAAAAGATTCAGTGAGCAAATTAACAAAAGATTCAGTGGAGAGTCGTCCAGGTTCGACCCTATGAACTATATGACTCTTGAACGAGTAGCTGACTCCTACTGGCGCGTCGCCTCAGGCGGTGGCGGCCGTAGGCCCAATGCATTGAAAAAGGCTGAGCAAGCATCGAATGTTCTAGAAGGACTAGATGCTTGCCTGGTAAATACTTTATACAAGACAATAGAGGCTTCCGTTCCCATGATTATTATATATATACTATTAAATTACATAATTACAATTAGGCAGCAAAAAGCCAGTTCACAACACTGTGCTTGTTAATATTTATTTAAACACAATAAAGTGATCGATTAAGATAGATCACTGTTAAATAGCCACTAATTAAGTTGCAAAAAATATTTAATAAATTTTAAGTTATAGCTTATTATTTTATGCAATAAAAAATGCATACATTGCACTGTAATCGAATAGTCTACTGTAAAATAATGCACAATATGCAGTGTAAAACAATATATGTAATTAAATATAAAATTTTAATTTAAATTTATATTATTTCAATTACCAAACCACACACTGTTAAAGTATTTATTTAAGTTTTTATTATAAAATTTAAATAAAATAATCTAATGTTTTGCATTTTTTTTGTACATCGATTTAAATTAATTCTCTCATATGTTTAATGTTATTACATTTTAAAAGACAGTGCATTGAAAAAAAAAAAAATTTATAGTTCTACTAATAAAACTCTAATCCTACAATACGTCTATTATCGTATTTATTTCGCTTATCGGTATAATTTGTGTGTTCCATTACCAATCTATAATATTCCAATTTTTTTGGTAACATCTTGCTATATAATTAATTTATAAAAAAAATGATTCTTGTTCAGTTTAATTGTTATACAATAAACGAATGCACTTGGAGTATGTGTACTACCTTTTCACGGAGGAATTTTTGGCGGCTTTACATTGTTTTGTAGCTCGTCGAGATCTGCCCGCTGATTTATACTTTGATTGTGAAGTTCTAATTACCTTCGTAAACTACTTTGTAAGCCTGATTATCAAAATAATGTAATCACCAGTCTTCAATGTAATTGGCAATTTAATCCTCCAAGCGCACATCATTTAGGAGGTCAAAGGGAGGCCACGGTTCGTTCTGTCAAATCATAATGGTAATCATAATTATTGAAAATCAAGTTCTGACCTTGTAAGAATTTTTATGGTCATATTCCGCGAAGAGGCTATTTTTATCGCGTCCTTTAATTCTTCTCTCCTCTGACTCAGCCGAAAGTGATTCCCTCATGCTGGGAAATTTTTTAATTGGCAACTCATTTCTTTCTCTCTCAGAACATGATGTACCGGGAAAAAAACGAATTTTGTTAAAAGATGTAACTAGTCAATCAACTTTTCCAGTCTTTCAAGGCGGCGCTGAAAGGACTACATTCTCTATAAACCCGCAACCATTTGACGAAAAATGGGCGTAAAATAAATGTCAATGTCATAGTCGTCATCATTATTAAAATATTGTAACGTCACAAATTCGAAGGTTTATGATTTTTTGTTATGTCTACTTATTTATTTTATCGCGCGAAAGAACCTTTTTCTGACACAGCGGTGTCAACCACTCATTATTTTGCCTCTGACCGCTAGATAAGGCGATAAAAGAGAAATATAATTAAAATCGAATTGTTTATCAGTATTGATCCCTTCCAAAAAGACGACTGGCCGTTATCGATATGAAATTCCCGTTAGATCGGTGTTGACTCTTCTCTATTCTTTCTTCTGTCATTGACCGTGCTAGGGTGCACACATTTGTTGTTTTATTGACATATTTTTCAATGATGGAGTAGAACCGCCAACGGCGAACGGCCAGATCTTTTCGGCGAAGCATCCAGACCATCGGATGGGTCTCTTCGGAGACCGGGTATCGTTTTTTTTTTTATATTATATTTATGTAATGAGCTATATTTTATTAATTATTTTATTGTAAATTAACTTAATTTTGTTTATGTGTGAAGAGCACGTGTTTCTTCTAGCCAACGCTAAGGAGCGAGTGTCCAGACCGCTCCTGGTGTTCTTCATTAATTTCCTGTTAACATTAACGGATGTGTTCCAATACCGTCCGTGATGTTTGTAATATTATTTGTTTAAATATTTTATTTTATTTGTATTGCCTTTATTTGTAGACATGGTTTTTGATGCATTCGCATTTTTGTCCATGTTTAACTTAATTTTCTTTTTTTAACAATTAAATTAAATTTCCTTATTAATTTCAATTGTAATATTTATTTTATTGCGCGAGTAACTTAATTACTCGCGTGTATTTCATTCCTATTCCTTAATCTAGACACGGGCTACGGTATGTTTTACATATCAACCACATACAACTTTGATTGGCATAATTGTGTTCTATAAACCACGAGGCATTATAGTAATTTATACATATAACGACATATTAACTTAGATTATACTTTTAATTAACTTAAAATTAAATTCCACCTATGGTCCGGTAATCATATCTGATAGGTGTGACACCTCGCCTAGGTGGTGGCGACCCTTGCTACTCTAGCTAGTCGTTATGCAAGTGGCAAACCACGTTGTTGTTACAGGCCGAATTACTAATCTAAAAGCCCGCTTGCAATATAATTAAAAAAAAATATCATTCAAAAAAGCAGATCATATACTGGAGGCCTCTACCATAAATACTATTAAGCAAGGTCACAATGACGGGATCACCAATTTTCATAATAGTTATATGAATCTAATATGCTTAGTATATTTAGTTATACTAATTATGAACATTTTGCTGTAACCCACCAAAGGGAGAACAACAAAAACTAGCTTACATAACACTTATTATAATCCCAAATGCGTAGCGACCTTATGTCGAATAATATAAATAATTTTTAAAAAAACTAAGAAAAAAGTTAATATATTTTTGTGATTCATGGAAATGGGACTAACAATTGTAAGTCCGATTAAGTCATTTTTCTCCCCTTAGCAAAAAGTATATAGTAAATTTTTATATTTTAATGTTTTATTTTATTATTTACATAAAAAACATTTTTCTCTTATTTAGTAGCTTAATATAATTATATTAAAAATTGGACAACATTTTAATTTTCATTATTTTCAAACATTTTTAAATTAATTTTGATGTTAATTTTCTATTTTTCTTTTAAAATCCTTCATTGGTCAGACAATATAATGCCTAGCTCTGTAGGTTGGCGATCCTTTTTTTTATTATTTATTTATGGTGCCATGTTTAGGACTGGATTATTACCCATTGTGATCCTTAAAAAAAAAAAATCGTGAGCCCATACAACATACAAATAACTTTTATGAAAATTGATAATTTTATCACCGTGACCTTCCCTTGTGAATTATTCATATTCGTTAAATGTGTGGTGTATTATGTATTATATTGTGGTACATTATAATAAACTACCGAACATAATTATTAATTCTTAAGTTATGATACTATTTAATAATACAACTATGTTTTTTTTGTCTTTTTTACTCTATAATTTTTGTACTTTAACCCAATTTGCGTAAGTTAAATAGATAAATAAAATAATTAATAAACCCAATCAGCCAATAGGAACAATTTTGATATAATTTAACTTTAATGAAAGATGAGTAAAATACACGAAATTAATAATTCTCTTATTATTAAAGATCAAGAATGTCTACATTAAAAGCATTTTTTAAGAATTAAAATTTCAAAAATAAAATAATTTTAATAATTATAATTAAATAAACATAGTTTTCTGTACTGGAGCTTTTACTAATAGATGGAGCTATTATAGCATAACCAAAATCAAAGTGATCACTTCTGGTTCTATGCACTCTAAATGTACCATTTTCTCCCCAATTTCTGCTAAATGAGTTCATCAAAAGCCAATAATTAACATCATCATATGTGCCCCAGCCAATCAGCTTTGCAGCATGTTCATTTTCCAATTTTCCCCAAACATGAGCAAAAATTTCTATAAAAGAAAAATAATATGAAATACGAAGTAGTATAAAAACGTTACACATCAAGTTTCAATTAAAAGATTTTTGGAAATGTTCATATTTCTTAGATTTTCAGAAATGTAGAAGTGATTTAAGTAATTTAATTTCATTATAAAATACATAAAAATTATTAATTTACAATAAATAATATAATTTTACAGTAATTTGTTTCATTTTTTAATTATTAAAAGATAAAAAAGAAATATTATTAAGCAAGCAAAAATCGAAGAGAAGAAACATACAAAGTGTTGTAAAAATAGTTGCTGCAAAAAATGATCCTTCATTAATACGTAAAGAATGGTAATTATATCATATTTAGTTAGTTTTGTTCGCTATTAATAACTAGTAGTTTTTATATTTTTACATTAATATTTTCAATTAACAGTTGTTCAAAAAAATGTCTCAAAAACATTCAACAAGAAAAACTTGAAGTTATAATGAAAATGTTTTATGAGCTGCATTCTAGAAATGAACAAGACCTTCATCTTCAACGAACAATAGAAATAAAAGAAATTACTAGATAACGAAAACGAATAGAAACAGAAGAAGGAAAAGAAAAACCGAAATCCAAAAGTGTTCAGTATATTTTAATAGCAGATGGACGGCATATTCAAGTATGTAAGAAAACTTTCAGTTTTGTTGATGATGATGTTAAGGAATTGCGTTTGTTTTGTGACAATCGTGCTGGGCAGAACAAAAACCACGCATTACTCAAAATGATTATGGCTCTAATTTTTTTACACAAAGAGGACACTCGTTTTTGCCGTGTGATCGTGACTTCGCATTGATAAAAAAACAACTGAACAGAGTGGATCGTCTATACACTTTAGAAGACTATGTAGAACTTATTTTAAAATCATCAAAAAACCCCGAAAAATTTTCAGTGTTCTTAGTTGATAAAAGTATGATTTATGACTATTAAATGTGGTTTCCACAATTCTATATTAAAAATACTAACGCATTAGAATGTTTAAGCCGTAATAAAACATTTAAACAGCGTCGTACAATTGAAAAATTTTTAATTTCTAAATAACATTATTTTTTATGTGTATCAGAAAAATGTGGAATAATTAAGGCAAGTGAATTTATTGACAGAACAATATCATACCCTTTCAAATTGAGAAAAAACAATGCAATGCCCATACAGTACCCAAAAACACTACCTTATACTTCGAGCTTACCAATTATTGAAAATAAAATGAAAGATTTGAAGCAATTAGCGAAATATATTCCAGAGCCAGTATTATTATCATTTTGGAATTTTATATTTTCGTTTCAAACTGAGACACCTTAAGCAAGGCAAAATAGAACATAACATATTTCTATAATTTAATTTCTTATTATTTCAAAGATATCAAATTTTTGTGACTCAATATTAGTATATAATCTACTCTATATTATTTAATCATGTCATTTTAATTTTTATGCATATTAAAGCTATTTATTTATAAGAAAACAGTTATTTTCGAAATATAAATGATAATTTGAAACATAAACGGCACATGTCCACGGCCTTAAAGTCCTTCAAATACCTACAGTTTAAATATAATTCTTAAAGTGATTGTGGAAACATGTATACCATGTCTTAAACTATATTATTCTATAACATACAATTTGTAATTTAATTTTTTTTAAATATATTAAATTTTTTGTGTTTCCTGAAAATTTTTAAAACTCTGATATGTGCCCTTTCTGCATTTAGCGATTATATATGTACATATTATATATATATCATTAATCCGGACTAATAAGGGCTCTAGGTTGTCCNTACAGTGGAGGTGGAGGAAGTGTACGGGGGGATTAAATCCTACGTAAAATAACCTAATGCTATAGTGGGGGAGAACGATGAAACTCAACGTAATCTAACCTAATGGTGGGCTGTGGGAGAGGATGAAACACACGTTTTCTAAGAATTTTATCATGGGCTACCAGACGTTTAGGTAAGCATATTTTTCAACATTAAAGATGTCGCCGTACAGTAATGATAATTGTCGTGCGGATTTCATGAGAACAATGGTAACGTTTGTCGTTATGCCTTTATAATTTACTATTGGTAAAGAACAAAATTGGATGTTATAAGTACGCACAAATGAAGTGAAACTACTTTCAGAATCATTCAAATGAATAAAACAAAAAAAAACAACTAAAAATTTGATTTGCATTTGAAATTAATTAAATTTATTAATTTACTTATTCTATTTTTACAAAAGATATAATAGGCTAATGATAATTGAAATATCTAATACGTGTTTTTGATTGGACATGATAAAGATCTCGAGTCAAAAATGCATATAATTTTTGTTTACATTTTTATATGCACAACCAAAATTACTTGAAATTAAATTATTCAATGCATTTTAAATAACATTAATTTTCAAAATTTCAAGGGTAAATAAAAATAAAAATATATTTATTACTTACTATTATTGTTTATTAATAAACTATATACAATTTTATTTTATTTTTACATTAATATAATATGTATGTAATACCTAAGGATATAATTAATTTTATATATTAATAATAAAATATCTAATAATTATAGATAATATTAAGAATTATATATATTATTTATTTATAAAAATAATTATGAATACATACAAATATAAGTAGGGTAAAATGGAGAGAGCTGGGCCTCCCGCCTCACCCACTCTCCCTCTTTACGGTGATGGTGGAGGAAGTGTACGGGGAGGATTAAATCCTACGTAAACTAACCTAATGCTATGGTGGGGGAGAACGATGAAACCCAACGTAATCTAACCTAATGGTGGGGTGTAGGAGAGGATGAAACCCCACGTTTTCTAAGAATTTTATCATCGGCTACCAGACGCTTAGGTAAGGATATTTCCAACATTAATGGTACCACCGCACAGTAACGATCACTGTCGTATGCATTTTATGATAAAAATGACACCACTGGCTGTGTTTCATGCCTACGTATTTTATTCTTTACTATATAACCGGTTAAACACTTCTTGTCCTGTCACATTTGATTTTGATTATCATTGACGTGCAGTTGTTTTTTTGAAAACCAGAAATTTATTATTTAATAATTTACACGTATAAATAAAACCATGAACCAGCAAGTTCAATCGTCTTCTACACAAGGTATGTAGATTTTTCCAATTATAAACTTATTTTATTTTAATAAATTTATTTTTTAAATATTTTTAATTTTTTAATTAATTAATTTATCAAAAATAGTAAAATAAAGCCAATACCTAATTTTACTATCAATTTTATATAAATTTATGATTTATTTATTTATTATAAAAAAAACTTCTTTACTTATTTTTATGTATAAAAAAATAATTTATTTCAGTTTTTATTAAAGCTACTTCCGAGACATCTGTTTCATCACGTCAGGCGGCTAAGCGTAGTAGGGCTAATAATAGCGCGGTTAGGTCGAAAAGGCTACGTATGCAATTGATGGATACCCGTGATTTCACCGAGATCGATTCCGCATTTGAGCGTGGGGCCGTTTGGTTTTATCGGAAGAATGTGGAAAATTTCGCTAGCTATCGAGATTTTCTGCGCGCCGTTAAACCCGAGCTGGTCGCCAGACTCCCTGAAATCGTAGGTAACCGCCCGATCAAGTATAATCTCAAATTGGATGCCTCATACCATATACCGCGATCAGAAGCACCAACCGAGGACCGTGCCTTCAAAACACGGGCTAAGGCATTGCTATCCGATACGAATATCGGGTGTGCGGTCGATGAAGATTTTGAGGTTATGCTCGCCGATGAAGACGTGTACTATGGGAGGGGTAGCGGCTTTACTTTATCGCATATCGACGGCATTATGCTCAGCGTATACAAGTAAACGCCCCTCGCCGTCTCATCGTATATTCCGATTCCGCCCGGAATTAATAATAGAAAAGCAATCATCAACCCACAGAATATCGATCAGTCTTGTTTCAAGTGGTCTATTTTGGCGAGACACGTCAAGGGAGACCACAAATATCGCGTTGATCGAAAATATTTTAACGAGAACACAGGTATGATTTTACAGGGTTGACGTTCCCCACACCTGTGTCCCAAATTAAAATATTTGAACGACAAAACCCTAACGTGTACGGCTTGGAACGAGACGACGTTAAGATGAAGTGGTTGGTGTATCCGCTAAGAGTTGCCGAATAAGAACAACAGAATCATTTTGATCTATTGTATATTAGCGACTCTGAAAAATCACATTTCGCGTTCATTTCAGATTTTTCTAAGCTTCGTAAACAAAAAACCAGACACCAAGGTCGCATATACACTAGCAAACATTGCTTCACCTGCTTTGATGATCGGCCTAAAAAGCATATTCTTCGGGGTCAACAAGCGTTGGAGCAACACAAGTGGATATGCGGCAAAAATAAACCAATTTTACCTGTTATGCCGGCAGAGGGTGGTAAGGTTGAATTTGAAGCGTGGGTAAAGACGCAACGGTTATCGTTCGTCATCTACGCCAATTTTGAGGCCTTACTGGAGAAAACAGACGATCGTATGGGTGCATACACCAGGACTGTGCACACCCACCATCCCATGAGCTATGGGTTTATGGTGAAAACATCGGACGATGTACCCTCCGAGCTCCTCGAACGCTACGGTATACCACAATCACCGGTGATATACCGTGGGTCTGAGGATCGCGAAGAGGTCGCTAAGGCATTTGTGATGACTGTAACTGAAGTGACTCGCAACATTTCTAAATTTTTGCGCAAAACCAACGTTCCTATCCCAATGTCTGCCGATGATGTGCGCAGGCACGGAGAGAAAGTGGTATGCGACTTGTGCCGTACAGCATTCAAGGATTCCAACCCTAAAGTCGTAGACCACTGCCATTTATCGGGGAGATTCAGACAGACGTTGTGCAATGCATGTAACCTAAAAGTGAAGACGGTCAATTTTGTACCGTGCTTCTTGTACAATCTATCAGGTTACGACGCGCATTTCATTGCCATTCAATTGAGGTACGACGACCAAAGAATTTCGGTCATACCGAATTCCGAGGAGAAGTATATTTCAGTAACGAAATACGTGACCAATTACTTTTCCATACGGTTCGTCGACACCTTCCGGTTCATGTCCACCTTGGCCAGTAACCTAATGACGCCTGATTTCGTTCAATTTCAGGAGACGGCCAAAGTGTTCCGCCCGGAAGACATGCCGTTGGTGACACGTAAGGGCGTATACCCCTACGAGTACACTGATAGTTGGATTAAATTGGACGAAACGGAATTACCACCTCAAGACGCTTTCTATAGTCAGTTAAGTGAGTCGAATATCGATGATGATGACTATAGACATGCCACGGAGGTGTGGAACCGTTTCGGCTGCTCAACCCTCGGTGAGTACAGCGACCTATACCTTAAGATCGACGTGTTGTTGTTGGCTGATGTATTTGAGAACATCCGCGACATCTGTACTTCAACGTACAATTTGGACCCGGCACACTATTACACCGCGCCCGGTTTTAGCTTCGATTGTATATTGAAATACACCAGGATGAAGCTGGAGCTCTTGAACGACTACGACATGCTATGTGGAACAGGGCATTTGTAGTGGGTTAGTGCAGGCTGTCAAGCACTATGCAAAGGCCAACAATCCTAAGACACCCGATTACGATGCGTCAAAACCAGACTCATGGATCGTGTATCAAGACTGTAAGTAATCTATACGTATATATAAACGCGCAATAATTGAGCGATGGTTTAAAAACGTTTAATGTATACAGGCAATAACCTTTACGGGTGGGCTATGAGTCAGTCGTCCATGCCGTACGGTGGTATAAAGGAGCAGACCCTATGGCTGACCTCCAATCGTTGTCGGACACTGGTAATGCGGGGCGTATATATGAAGTGGAAGTATCGTATCCACAAGAGCTGCATGACGAGCACAACGACTCAATGCTAAAGCAGTTGTGGGTTATTCGATAAATTTTCACATTTTATAGGAAAAACCATGGAGAACATGCGGAAGCGAACCCGCATTGAGCTAATCTCCAGTTCCAAACGTCTACTCAAGCTCGTAAACCAACCAACCTTCAACGACTGTATCAAATGCGGTGAGAGGTTGTGCGCTGTCATAATGTACACAAAGATTGTAAAGTTTATCAAACCAATATATGTCGGTTTAGCAGTGCATGACATTAGCAAGACGCTAATGTACAAGTACTTCTACGACGTATTGAAACCACATTATGGCAACGCAATCGAATTGGTTTACATGGATACTGGTGAGTACAACCGTACAAAATAGAAATATTTTAGAATTTAGAAATTATTTAGTAGAAATGTTTTTTATAATATTTATATATTTNGTAGAAATATTTTTTATAATATTTATATATTTTTAATTTTTCTCAGACTCCTTCATATACCTGCTCAGAGTCGGCGACTTCTACCAGGATTTAGCTGATAGCCCCGATTTACTTGTACACGTGGACGCATCTAGCCTGTCCATGGATCACCCTTGCTACTCCACCGATAGAAAGAAGATGCCCGGCTTGTTTTCAGACGAGACCAGTGGCCTCACCCTCTTTGAGGTCGCTGCACTTCGATCAAAGGGCTACGCATATGTCATAGAAGGCAGCTAACTCATAAAGTCTAAGGGGATCCTAGGGCACGTCGTCCGGAAGCATCTGTCTTTGAATGATTACAAACAATGTTTGTTCGAAGACGATGGCGATGGCGACGATGCGTTAAAACGAGCATTGGCTGAAGAGAATGCCCGTGTGGTCATCGGAGCTGTACGCGATGGAGGGACTCCACCGACATTATCGCTACCATACACTCCGTACCGACAGAACGTGTCAATCGGTTCGTTCGAGCACGAAGTACGCACTTTACGTACAACCAAGTTGGCGCTTAACCGTTTCGACGATAAGCGCTACACGCTCGACAACAGAATCGATACGTTGGCTCACGGGCATTATACTATACCACCACGATCACCACTATAGGAAGGTTATACAAATATAGTAGTATTTAAGTGATTCTCGTTGGAAAAAAATATTGTTAAAATTAAATATTGAAATCATAATTTGTAAAAAATATGTGTAAGAAGTATAAATAGTTTTAAGATTTTTTTTGTTAAATAATTGTAAATAAATGTTAGTAAAACACATGTAATCGTATATAGTTTTAAAATGTAACATAAAAAAAAAAAAAAAAAAGAAAATATACTTATATTTTTAATTATTAAAAAAAAAACTCGTGTAGTATTTGTAATTGTCTATTTATTTAACTAAATGTTTTATTACAATAATGAAAAAATGTTTTATTATAATTAATAAAAAACGGTAGCACAGTGGGGTCGCGGCATAGTGGACACATTGCATAGTTGGGTCCAGTATAGATTTAATCTGACAGTGATTAAAATCACTATCATAAGAAACGCTTCGATGCAAATCTGTAGATAGTGTTTAATTTTAAAAAATTGATGGATAATTGCAAAAGCAACATCAACTTCTATTAAAATAAAATAGAAAACCCATAATTTTCATACAAAAATAGCATATTTTTGAATATGGTAGCTATTTGCGTATAGAAGATAGGTCGTCGGGACAGATTTTTTTTTAAATTTTGTAGTACATAAAATAAGCTTTAATTTTATATATGTTTAAAAGACGCAGTATTTCCGGAACGTTTTCAAAAATTAAGTTGAAAAAGTTATTTTTTGTAAAAAAGTTACTATTTTAAATCCTCCCAGTGAGCAGAATAAGTGTTAGATTTTCAAAAAAAATTATATCAAATGAAAGGGAAATATCTAAGGTTTCAATACAAAAAAATATTATTTTTATTTGTTCATTTTTGAAAAAGTTATGGCAGTTTTAAGTACAAAAAACATCCCGATAAAATGTAATTTTTATCGCAAACATTACATTTTTTTTTAAATTTTCGACAGCCATTTGCACATAGAAGATAAGATGTCGGGACAAATTTTTTTTTTTCATTTGATAGTATATAACATAACCTTTGATTTGATATATGTTTAAAGGACGCAGTATTTCCGGAACATTTTCAAAAATTAAGTTGAAAAAGTTATTTTTTGTAAAAAAGTTACTATTTTAAATCCCCCCAGTGAGCAGAATAAGTGTTAGATTTTCAAAAAAAATTATATCAAATGAAAGAAAATTATCTAAGGTTTTAGTTTAAAAAAAAATTATGTTGATTTGTTCATTTTTGAAAAAGTTATGGCAGTTTTAAGTACAAAAAACATTCCGATAAGAGGTAATTTTTATCGCAAACATTACATTTTTTTTTAAATTTTCGACAGCCATTTGCACATAGAAGATAAGATGTCGGGACAAATTTTTTTTTTTCATTTGATAGTATATAACATAACCTTTGATTTGATATATGTTTAAAGGACGCAGTATTTCCGGAACATTTTCAAAAGTTCAGTTGAAAAAGATCTATGTTTTTTACAATATTTTAAGTTTTGAACGCCCCCTATATAAGGGGAAATTGTCCAATTTTAATAAAAAGTATGTCAAATGAAAGATGTACTTATAATGTATTTAGAAAAAAAAAATTTGTGCTGATATATAGATTTTTCAAAAAGTTATAGCATTTTTAAGTTGAAAATTTAAAATCGAAAATTTTAACACAAAAATAGTGTTTTTTTAACTACGGCAGCCATTTAAATGTAGAAGAAAAAGTGTCGGGACAAATTTTTTTTTTTTCATTTTATAGTACATAAAATAATAAGCTTTAATTTGATATAAGTTTAAAGGACACAGTATTTACGGAACATTTTCAAAAGTTCAGTTGAAAAATTTAATTTTTTTAAAAAAGTTACCATTTTAAATCCTCCCCAATGAGCAGGTAAGTGATAGATTTTCAAAAAAATGATATCAAATGAAAGGTAAATATCTAAGGTTTTAGTATAAAAAAAAATTATGTAGATTTGTTGATTTTTCAAAAAGTTATGGAAGTTTTAAGAAAAAAAAGTGAAAAAATTTCGAAAATTAGCGATTTTTAAATTTGTAATTTTTTTGGATATTTCCCCCATTTGCGGGGAACGAGAAAATTTTGTTCAATTTTTAAGGGTAATGTCTTCAACTAGATACGATTTGTGATCTTTTGACGTATTTTTGAAAGAAATCGGTCCAGCGAGAGCTGAGAAAAAGTGGCAACAGACATAAAAAAAAAAAAACATCATAGTAAAATTAATACTTTTTCCGCTTCGCATCGAAGCAAAAAAAAAAAAATATGGATGCTTCATATAATATCGATTGAATCTATCCATTTATTATGTGAATTATCCAAACCAACAAATTTGACAAAATATTTGTCTTTATTCTTCTTAATAATCTTTTCCACTAAATAAACTTCTGGAAACTGAGTCTTGCTAAGTTCGTGCTCATAGAAACAACCATTTATAGGTCTTTTGTTTTCATCTGTCAGTTCGTACACGACAGGTTTTGTATCACGAATTTTTGCGATTATAAAGACTTCCAATGTCCAATTTTGTGTGTATCCTTTTGAAAATACTGCTTTATGTTTACTCAGACGAACTTTATCTCCAATATTAAACTTTTTGTTGTATTTTAAAATAGGTAGCCGTTTAAAACTGACTTTTCCAGGAATACGTGATGCTATACTAGGAGTTGTTCCTATGGCGCTGTTTTGTATTATTGTAATTTGTTATTAAATCTGCTATAATGTTTATCCAACTATATGATCTATTCGTAGTAAATTTTTTCCACATTTTTCTTTAAGTTNATTGGTAGTAAATTTTTTCCACATTTTTTCTTTAAGTGTTCTATTAAATCGTTCCACAACAGCCGCTTTCATTGTAGAGTAGGTTGAATAATGATTTATATTTTTGTTCTTCATGAGCATCCGAAAATGTTTGTTGAAAAATTCTAAACCTCGGTCTGTTTGCAAGTTTTTTGGAGATCTATTGAACAAGACTTTTTCAAAAGCTGATTTGACATTTGTACTAGACTTATTTTTTAAAGGCACAGCCCACGCATATTTTGTATAAACATCGATTATCGTTAAAATAAATGTAAAATTTTTATTTTTTGTAGAGTATTTTTTCATATCTACTAAATCTGCTTGCCACAAGTCATCTTTGTCGTACGATACAACTCTTCTTCTAGGAAATATTTTTCTAATCGTTCTATGTAATTCATTTGCTACTTTCTCTGCTATTTTACTCATGATAGTACACCTAGTTCTCGTAACTCTTCTTCTATTGACAGTATTTCGTTTCCCACGCCTGTATTTCCAGCACTTCTTGCATTGTGTAAAAGTTCTAATCGAACTATGAGTTCATTAGAATCGTTCCAATATACGTATTCTTTAGGTCTTTTGTTTAAAATTTTGTAGGTTAACACACCACTTCTTGTTTTCGGAGGAAATAAGTTACTAATGATGTATTTATATTTATAACCTACATTACATTTCAATTTTCCATCTCGAAAATGAGCATTAGTGTAAAGTAGTAAATNTTTCCATCTCGACCTAAATGGGCATTAGTGTAAAGTAGTAAAATTTTATAATCCGATAAATCCATTTTATTGAATGAACCAACTGCAGGTTTACTTTTAAATAATAATTGATAAAGCCCATAACTTAGTGGTCGTGGTGCTAATGTCCCAACTTTAATAGTTGAAAAATCATCGGTTATTTTAACCGTAGTATTACCCATGATAAAATCATTATCTTTCACATATTTTAAACCGTAAACCGGGTCCATTTCTAACAACCACTTTGAAAAATCTTCTCGCTGCATTTCACTGGAAAACGAGCGTTTAGGCTTATCGATATTTGCCGTCTTTATTTCTTCCTGTGATGTAGAAGATTCATTTTTTATTGAACTTTCCATCTTTATTTCCTCTTCCTGAGATGTAGAGGGTTCGCTAGAGCTCTGTATCATATCATTTTCTTCGGATGTTAAGGATGTAATTGGATCAGTTTTTACTATAGGACGGGCTTTTCCCAAGTGACGAAACAATGACTTTTTATGATTTTGCTTTTCTTCCATTTCAACACGATTTTGATTAGCTATTTCTTGAAGAGGTGTCACCAGCGGTCATATGTGTACGTACAAAATTTTCCGATTTCTCAACATTTCTATGAATTAACTGTATTTTATTTTTTATGTTTTGTTTAGAGCGTATGATTTCTTTCAACACTTTATCCGACATCTTGATATTAATTAAACATATAGCAGTATGAGTCGTCTTTTTATACTCGCGTCATTTTTATGAATATATCAAGCCCACATCGATATCGACCATTGTTGAGGTAATCATCTTTCACTCTAGTAATGAAACTATATCGTCCTTTATTCCATTATTGTGAACACATTGCTTTGAATTCATTAAAACTCATATCACTGGAACAATGATCTTCAAAAACGTGTTTGAGATTTGTTTCGTCTTGTTTGTACAGTATAATCATATAAGTGTTATCTCTTATCAGTTGTTTTGGAATTCTAGAATACGTCTGTGTTAGGTAAAAACTAACAACACCATTGTGTCGACCTCGCTAAAAATAAGATGTCATATGAATTTGTTTTTCACAAATCACATTATCCAATACAAATACAGATTTTGCTTCTAATTTTTCGGGTGGACGCACGTCTTCACTGCTAATGAACATAGAT